GGCTCGGCGTAGGAGGCTAACTCTGAGCCAATCTGAGGCTGTAGCTCACAAGGAAACCACAGAGCGCAGAGGTTAGCATAAACGAATTCAGATGGTATAAGATAATGCCTTTCTAGGTTTAGTACGGCAAGTGACCAGAAGGAACCTCATTGATCTCTTCCCTGATTCAATAAGACGGTTTTCTCTCCTTGGAAAACCTTCTGATGCCAATCAAAGGGGATTCGATGTAAAGACGCAGAAAGAATTCAAAGCCATCAATTTCGGTCGAACATGGATGTTGCGGAAAATTATGCAGATATCTGAGAAGGGCTTGAGCTGATTATTCCTACGAACTGGCCAGGATGACTCAACCAGCCGGGATTTCTTTCAAATTTTTCATTGTTTTAAAAAAAATTCTTGACGAATTCTTCATTTTTTCGAATCTTCGTGCGCTCTAGGAGGTCTGATTTTGAAGCGTTATAAACATCCGGAAATCATATTCATTGAATTTACGCACGGTCGCTGAGGTTTCCCCCTGCCTCTCAGAACAAGAGGACCGAAGCCTTAGGAGGTTCTGATATCACCGACTATCGTGTTGGGTATGCGTGCAAGAAGGGATTAAAACCAGAAAGCCCGAACCAAGACGACTTCTTCGTCATCGGCATTGACGAACTCGGGATGTACCACTCCTCGCACATATCATCGATCCTCCTATTTGACCAGGTTCGGCGTATTCGACGGCCACGGTCCCTACGGTCACGATGTTTCCAGTTTCTGCCATGATGCACTACCAGGAGTAAATGATTTGTACGATTTGTGGTAACAACTCTATATGCAGTTGCTCATCAAGGATGAGGAATTCTACACTGAACCTACCGCGGCTTTTACTAGAGCCTTTAAAGACACTCACTGTAAGTTCTTATCACTAGTATTATTATCGATCATTCCCGACTAGATATATACTAGAAAATATGTCATTGTAAATTTCCTGAACTGCATTGTTCGGACTGCATCTGCTACGATTCTTCTCAGTGTTGTGTGAGCAAGCAAGCTCACGGGGGAAATTCGACTGTTCACTCTCTGGCACTACAGCAACGGTCGTCATGACCAGAGATGAGACTATATACTGTGCTTGGGTTGGTGACTCTCGAGCTGTCATCGGCACTACTAATGTAAGGCGAAAACCTGCTTGTACTTGTCCTCGAATCGGTTAACCACGTATTGTTGTTCTTGGTCAACAAAAAGTCTATCAACACCTCTTGTTTCTTTACAGTGTGTTTTTAATCCGTCTATGCGACTTTTGTCTGAGACATCCTTTCAGGCGGACGGCGAAATCATCGCTGAAGATCTTTCGAGAGACCACAAGCCCGAGCGGCCGGATGAAAAAAGCAGAATTTCCTCCCGAGGGGGGCAGGTAAGAACAAACATCGATTTTTGACACTCCACAAGTGTTTCTGGTGAATGAGAAATCCGAGCCGGTCGTGTCCGAGTCATTAGGAAATCACCCGAGCTCTCCTTGCCCGACATTCGCGGTCAACCGTTTGCTCGCCTGATCATGGGTGTTCTCGTGTGTGTTCAAGTTCCAAGTCCAACACCGACAACACAGCTTAGTTAGATTCGCATCGACGCACATTAGCCGAGAGATCAGTTTTTAGCCTATCAAATTGGCGATTAAGGAATGTTGTCCACAGGGGGAGGGTAGTTTCAGCCAAAATACTTCTTTCGTTTAGGCGTTTTGTTCTATTCGTGATTAACGAATAACGCGGGTTTTCTGAAGTGCATCGATTCAGGTTCGGAAATTAGAGGGTGACATACCGTATCGAGTATTCCTCAAAGGTAGGCAGCCAACAAGCATCTTCATCGCAGTTTTCTGCAGGCAAACTCTACCCGGGCCTTGCAATGTCGCGTTCTCTTGGTGACTCTGTTGGAGCTAGTGCTGGAATTACATACGAACCCGAGATCAGAATCAGGTAGCGTCTGTTATCATCGTGTTTCCTTTACGGTTCATTAGGAAAATCGATCGAGCTCGAGATCGATTCGTGGTCCTGTGTAGCGATGGCGTGTGGGAATTCATCACCAGTCAAATGGCGGTAGAATTAATCAGTGAGTTGCTTCTAGCCTCTGTCGTGTGCATGCGTGCAGTGGTAGATCGTTACACCCCTGGAGAAGTTCAGACTGCGGCTGAGGCACTTGCCCAAGAGGCTTGGAAACGATGGATTCAAGAGGAAGGGAATGTCGTGGATGATATCACAGTCGTTGTCGCGTGGTTGGGTGATGACGATGAGAGTTTGCGAGGAAAGAAGAGCTCTCGGGAATCTTTATGGTGAGCATCCGTCTCTACTTGTAGTTTGTTATTGCCTGTCTCTTTTCAGATGAGGTCGTCGTTGAGATGTAAAGTAAATATTCGTGATCTATTATTTTCCATACAGCAATGCTGCGTCGATTGAACTCGACTATTACTATTGAATGTGCCTGGCGTATTCGTTGGGTTACTATCATGTTTGAACGAAAACCAACCGCATGTGGTGATAAACGAAGCGTTGCTACTCGAAAGATGTTGTGTTCTACAGTAGATCACGAAAAGAAGTAGCGAATTTGCTATGAGGAATTAAAGTTCTACGTGCCAGCAGCATAGACTGTATAACATTGGGTTAGCAGGAAAAACGATGGTTTCTTTGAATAACGATAAGTAACCATCTGAGTCTGGCTTTCAGTATCATATGAGCCAACCAGGTGAACTCCCATTCACATGAACAGCATAGTGTTCATGACTCAAGTTGACAGATGAGATACCCAAGTTGAAGATATTCGTTTCGATCTTCTGCAGGCATGATCATCACATCACACTGTGTTCGATTCCAGTAGTAGAACTAGTAGATCGTCAACTCAAATCGAGGAGTATGTAGGGAATACAACTACGTGCATATCAACGGTCAAGGACATGTTTCATCTCTTCTGTCAGTCGGGTCAACCTCTCGAGATCAGTCAACTGTCGTATTGCCGCGCTTATTCTAGTGGGGTCTAAACGAGATTGAAATCAAACAGGGGATGAGAAAATGACTATATTCACCCGTCACTCTATGATCATAACTCTGCTCGCCACACGGGACATCATCGAGGTCTATGTGGCCTTCGGCAGGAGTGAATCCTGATAGTAGCAAATGAGCAGAGCTGGGTTGCACGGAATCAGACGAGGAAACTTGTTGAGTAGTCAACAACAGGTTTCCTCGTGCAGTAGTCAGACTACTGCATTTGAAAATAGTATAAGCGCAGTTCAAAAGTGCATAGAAGAGCACAGCTCACCATACCTCGGCGCAGCCGTATCGTCTCTAATAACACAGAAAGGCTTCGACCAGTGTTCTGGGGAAGATGGCCTTGATCAAGCTCTACAGTCTCCTCATCCGGCCACGACAAGTCTTCCAGATCGTGTACGGGCCATTCCTCCGTCATTTGCGGTGCCTCAGCGAGATCTGAAAGCTTGCTGGGGAGGTGACGACACCTCGGTCGCCCTCACCAGTTGTTTCCTCTCGCACCTGCCGCATTCCAGCCAACATCTCATCGGCCTCCCGCAAGAGTGAGTTTGCTTGGCTGAGCATATCTTGATCCGAGTCTAGGGTGACGACGTCCTTCAGTTCATCCACAATACCTCAAAATAGTCAACAGCGACGACTTCTTTCACGTCAGTTCTATCTCACTTAGGCCGACTTCCTCCGTCGTTGCCGAGAGGTCCATGCCATCAGGTACCTCGGGAAGCGTCATTTAAAGTGGTTGAGTTTTAAGTCTTCAGCGGACGGAACGAATGTGAACTAGGTTGTCCACTCTTGGCAGACTCTAGTTTGCGATGAACTTATATGCTATAGCTATTAGTAATATCAGGCCCCCCTTCCAACACTGCTCAAGATAGCGAAGGAGATACCTGTATCACGGTTCTCTGGATGGATACCCGGGTTCAAGTCCACGCCTGACATTCCAACTCGAGTAATAAATACATCAGAGAGGATCAAAGCACAGTGACAACTTGGTAATCCCTAAAAGCGGCGTTACATTTGAGTCAAATGATTTGACGACCGCGGGAGTCCGATCCGGATTTCGAGATCGTAGTACGATCATCGTACTTTATACTGTGATCGGGAAATGCGGTCGACGAGGATTGAACCTGGGTTACTCAGGCATTTAAGTTCGATACCTCTTCTAAGAAGCTGATAGGACTAGGAAGTGCTCGGGTAAACGATAAAACACAAGGGATTCGGAAGATTCCTACTATAAATTTCCTAGAGCGCTCGTGGAGTCAACGATTGTTGTATTCCACATCGCTTGTACTGGCAGCTACACTGCGAGCGATTCTAGTTGTCTTCAGTAACTACAGCACTGATAGGCGTGGCCTTTCCCAACTTCCTCTAAGAAGGACACCACTGAACTCAACCTGGTCTTAGATTTATTGACGTTGTGTTTCATTCAACCTTCAACGTAGGGAATGCCACCGATATCACACATCGTACACCCTTCTGCAACACATCTATCTATCTCATACTCCGACGCAAGCTTTTTTTCGGCCATCTCCCTCCGAGAATCTCGGCGATGCTCATCTTAGATGCCACTGCTGCGCAAAACCGATAGGAGCGTCCCTTGAGGGCGCTGCTGAGCACGAAACGAGACGGATGCCAAACCAACGTGTTCAAGGGTATGCTCGAAAAGACCCAATAAGTGAGTTACTGTTGAACGAATTTCAAATTAGTTATTTGTCATTGTAAAGCAAGATTCTCGCTTTTAAAGCAGAATGAGTTCTTGGCAACTTCTTGCTGCAAGAACTCATCGCTGCGATTCTATATAATACGTTGAAGTTGGGTAGTTTAACAGTGATAATCCCTGTCTTACGATATGATCGTGCCACTGATATGGGCATCCAGCCCTCTGCAGGATTTTAGGCCACCAATTCTGCCCAGGGGCAACCAATTCATTGCACTTGATCACCAGCGATATGTAGAGCATGAAAAAAGCCGCGACTAAACAATCAATGATCAAACATGAACGGCGATGTGTGTTGACCGACGGAGAGTGAAACTCCCGAGAGTATCAAGACCTAACTCACCTCATATCACCCTCATTGGCTGCTGAGCTGCTAGCTGCGCTACAGGGCTGAAACTTCTCAGGATCATAAGACATGAACATACGATACTTTTCGGTGAAGACTTGCAGGAAAGTGAACAAGATTGAAGCCTGAACGATGATTGTGTGAATTATCACTTTTATCAACCGTGAATTGCAGCAAGTCCCAAGAGACAACACAAAAGCGTCATAGCAATCTTCATACACTTGGCATCAAGACGAATGAAGGCCGCACATGCCGGATGGGACGTCCGCGGCCCGTGGACCGCGGGCATACATAATCGAGAATATGAGCCAAGGAGAAGTGGGCTGAGCCGAATTACGACCAACGCAAACCAAGATGCACCTCTGGAAAATGTTGTACAATTAGGCGAAAGCGCAAGAGAGTTCGACCTACCATGCACGATATGGTATACTGTAGTGATCAAGTTGGTATGAGAAGAGGAATCTGCGTGAATGCGGTAACATGGATGAGAAAGCTGTCAAGTTACGTGAGAGTTATGCCAAAGATAGAAAAAAAGAAGTTTGTACTTCGTTTCTGTCTCTTACTGTCGTTTGTTTCTTCTAAAAACGAACCTGGCAAATGTGAATATAACACGCACGATTGTAGACGCGTAGCATGTGAGTAGGGCGAATCTCGAAACCCAAGGCATCCGACCAGAATCCAAGGAATCTGACCAAGATCTATGGTGACTGTGCGGAGATCTGTCACAACCTCTATGTTTTGCATCAGGCTGAAACAAAACACTTGGCCGATACTATCTTCCACTATGAACCGAGTGATACTAAGAACTCACCGAATGAGTGGGTTCTGTGAATAGGACGCTTTCCGAAAAGTGCATGAAGAATGGCTATTAGACAAGTTTGATTCGGCTTTCCCCTTTTGACTTCGACAACGATAGGCGAGAAATCAGGCTGGTCCAATGTATCGACAACGTTCATTCCACTGTTTCGTTCAATAGGACTAGCACACGGACAAGGACAAAGTGAAGAGGCGACAGGGAAAATACGAGAAAATCTCATTAACGGCGATAGAGCCGCCGCTTAATCGGTTGAATGGATTTGATAAGTTATCGGTTAAACCGAATCTCGATTCCGAAGTTCTATCTTTGATGAGCTCCCATGTACAATTACTACAGTAGACCCATACGGGATCCCGACGGGAAACCCAACATAGAACGGAACATATGAAATGAGACTCCACTCATGGGTGACGAGTCGAGACTGGCTCGAATCGCAAAAACCATCCCTTGGTGGGATCGAACTCGATCCTGAGAATAGATGAACACACACGTCTACTACCCCGTTGGCGGAACTCACTCTAATAGCCGACCACGATCGCGAGAACGAGTAAATGCATTCAGTCCAAAGTGGCACTTAGGCTCACACTCGATGGTCGTCTTGAAGGGCTTCCTCCTATGCTCACTACACGCCTCTATAAGGTAAAGTACCTAAACAGATGAACTCATGTTAGAGTCATCCCAATAATCTACCTTATCGAGCAATACAGGACCTGTGATCCGCACTGTATATAACACGGACTGGTCCAACTTACTATTATCACCAGGTGAGCTGCAAGTAATTCCAACCTGAGGACTCACTCCAACAACAATTCACAAGCTCACTACCTCCAAAGGCGCTATAGTGGCTCCCTCGAATGGCTGATTAGCGATCATAACAGGAACGCTACTCCGATGCTGATGATGATGACGATGTAGTAGTTGATGAACTAGTGTTGCCCTCAGATGATCCATGTATGCCGTTACAGCGTAGAGACCTCTAAACCTGGCAGCTACGATAGCTTAGAGACTCTGTAAACCTCCCACCTGACTGCACGCTCCTGCTGCTCTGCTCGAGCACCCTTCCTGGCTCTACTACCGAAGTCAGCATTAACTTTCTCTCCACCGTTTTGTAACACATTGAGGAGCTCACAGGTAAGCTCGTCCTCTACAAAGCTTCGAGTAATTCCCCTCTCATGAAAAGCCCCCTCCCACCGTGGGCTTCCTGTGTGATTTCATCAACATCATCGTGTTGCTTTTGTGTCGTGTCCCCACCCGTCTCCAAGCCTTCATTCAACTCGTTGATACCCTGAGTACAGTAGTGCGGTGAATCGTTCTTCATCTGAATCTTACTTTGGATATGCTAAGATTCTCGAAGCTGATCCCAGCCTCATGCCACTGTTTCCACTCCGACACGAGTGAGCTCGACTGAATCGCTAAACACAGGAATAGTGGGCAACTCCGCACCGGGTTGGCAAAAAGAACATGCAGTGTTGGAAAATGGTAAACTGCATGCGTTGGTATGAAAATTTGGTGAGAATTTTAGGAAGTTTGTACCGGTGTCTAAAATAATTCATGCATGAATTTTGAGAAATTCTGGTTGGTTTCTGTACACTTCTACCAAAATCCGTATGTAATTTCGATAATAAGTGAGGGAACTGTCGAAGATTCTTGGTGATTCCTGTACAATTCGGATCAAAGAGTCGCAAAATTCCTATAAAAACTCCTACGATTAGCGAGGAAACTCCTGAGCCCATCTGGGAGAACCAAATATATATTCCAACATAGAGAGCATGAAACCAGCAAGTGGCATGTCTTGAGATAGAGATAGGCCAACAGCTTTTGCAGGCCCAAGCCGATGATCGAGGAAGAAGGAGAAAGAGCCTACCTTCTAGAATGCGCTCACCCTTGGTGATGTCTTGATCCGCCGCAACTGTTCGTCGCCACCTAGTGGACTTAATCCGTATCTTACTCTCGGCAACCTAAGATACCCCACCTTATGATCACAGTAACATTGTCCCGGCCGCCCATATAGGATGTCGGTGGTAGCACTATCATACACTCCTCTATCTTGCCACTCCGCAAACCTGTATGCAGTGACCTAAAACACATCATACCATATGCCCGCTAGCCCAGGAAGTATACGACAGATCTCTTTCCATGTCACCAAGTTAGTGACACTAACACAGCGTCAGTATACAATTCGATTTTCGCGAGTGTTCAAATTCGGCTGCAATGCGACTCTTCCGAGTTAGCGATTGTTAAACCAATTCCTTGCATAGACAACCCACCGGATAGACAGATCGAGATGCCTGGCCCGATCAGCGGGCTCCTCGGCTGCTGAGGACCTCCATTCATATCGAGTCAAGCAGTGCGGGGGTGGGAAGGCGGGGGAAGAGGCACCATGCATCTACAAACACCAAATGGACACCATGCAAGTATTAGAATATATGTCTGGTCTCGTCACCTGAACTCGCGGTTTCCTTACAGACGATTTGAGGTAGAAGTGTACAAAAGCCCACCAGAATTTCGCAAAAATTCCTCATAATTTTCATATGTTCCGCGCATTGCATTCATCTTTTCTAGACGGACCCCTTCCCTCTCACCTTGTTGCCACCCGGAAACGCTCCTGACAGCTCTACCGCCGTCAACTCTGAGTCCAACAAGATGCTCACAGACCTGTCACCAGCACGCATGCACATACAACTGATAACGCTTTCCCCTACTTGATAGTAGCAAGATAGTCCTCCTTAAAATCCTCTATGAAGTGGCCATCCAAAGTCCCCACCTTCATCGTATTGTCCACCTCCTCCGTCACAGCTTGGCACTCAGCAGCTGCGATAGGTGGATGACTAGAAAGAATACACAATGAGAAGATTCAATAGATAATGTTGATCATTGGAGTTTACCCGTGATATAAATTTCACGACTACTGCATATCACCGCGAATATCGCGTTTTTCACCGAGTTTCACGCCACTCCACGTAAAACGGGCGAAACTCCATTGCAATAGCAGTGGGCTGGTGATACTGAATATTCCAACATGGAATGGTTCAGGAGTTTCCTCACTAATATGAGTTTACATACAAATTCGTGTGGAAGTCTACAGAAACCAATGAGAATTCCTCCCGAATTTTCATCAGAGTTTTCATAGCGTCACCATCACATGTAGTAGTTACCCATGTGCATATTTTTCCCCCACACTGATCACGATCACAAACTGCTTAGAAGTAGTGATAGACAGGAGCTCACCATAGACTTACTTTCCAAATAGCGACACCGACATCCCTAGTGTTGCTAAATTAAGTGAAGAGGATAGCTGTATTGGAGTCATGTTCATGGACATTATTTCTAGTGATAACTTCAAAACTATACCAATCTAAACATCACATGAGCTTATATCCGACTGAGCCCTGAACTAGCTACAGCAGGTGTTCGAACCCGGATGGTGACGAACTCAAGCAGTAGGAAGGAGTGCTTTGGAAAAGGCTATTAAACTTGAAGACACTGATGATGATGGTAAGTGTACATCTTGCTCTCTTGCTTTTCCTCAACGTCCATCAGCCCAACAAACCAACGTCGGGTTGTTCAGCGTCTTGACGAGTTCCTGATAATGAAAGCATGTCGTAATACATTCAAATGCCAACATAGAAGGCGTGTTGTAGTATAATAACTAGAATACGACTGTGTACGAGAGATGATTCTGTTGCTGCAACACCTGTCTGGGGGATTATGTGATCCCGAAAAATCAAACTGATCTCGATCTATCACGGTATTGATATCAAGCATAGGCCGCATCATTCAGGCTGTATGATACAGCTCTTCGTACGAAAGGGCGATCTCTATGGAACTAGTCAAGAAACGCTTCCAATTGTCAAAGTCCATCAGATACAAAAAACGCCTTGTAAAATAATTTTTCGGCTCTCAGCCGCCTCCTATGATGTTTCGACTTACTTTGAGCAGTTTCCGCGATACCAGAATACCGTCCCACTATAGCCTGTTGCCTAGCTCTAGTGGCCTCCGACACCTGGTGCTTTGGTGGTGATCGGTCTCGTAAAGTAGTAGCACTAGAGTGGTAGTCTACACCTTCGCCGTGTCTGACAGATGTAGGAATAACAAAAATCCCATAAGGCGCAACGGGTTTCAGTCGAATTCAAAAGGGTTTCACCCTTTTCACGTAAAGTGGCGTAAAACGCGATATTCGCGGGGATATGCAGTAGTCGTGAAAGATGTTTTTCACCAGTGTTTTCACATCACTAGGGTGAAACTCCAAAGATCGTAAGTAGAAATATGACCGTTTCATTCGAGTTTATGATAACTCATCGCTATATCTAAGCCTTGTTGAAGTTTCAGCCTGAAACACTACTCAGCGGGAAATGATAAATTTCCGAGTTCGTCCTAGGGAATACTACGCCCCTCAGCACCAACCCCCTGCTCACCTGCTATTAACCGTACGGCCCTTCCCTTTACCCTTCCCCTTGCCTTTTCCCTTACCACTCCTACCGCAACACATACCAACTCCCATCACGTAACCCCCTACCTCTCATGATAATCCAAGTAGTCTCTATCCCTACTCCTAGACCTACTCCTTCGTCGCACTACAGCCGATGCACCTACTTCCATAATCGTTCAAGTCGTTCTAATACGACCACTTACCCGACTCCACATGAGGCCGCGATAGAGCATTTCTATACCCCTGTACCGGACGACAATACCCCTTACCACTAGTAGCCGATACACTAGCCTGACCAACACCATATAGCAGAACCACCAAGGTATCACTTCTTACTTTATCTCGTCTCCTCTGATTGTAAATGTCCAGCGCGTTCATACCCTCATACGCCACATCGTCAAAGTTACCGGCCGTTTTATGATGAGTTAGATCAACCATAGTCTGCCGACATGAATAAGAACCTCCTCTAAGGCTATCACTGCTCCCCTACTTTACTGTCCCCTTTGTGAGCTTCTGCCACGTCAGTCCATGCGCCGGTAGCATCACGGTCTTCACTCCAACTAAATACGACGACAACCTTACCATCGATAACGAATATTCATATTTTCCATGCGACTACAGTGCGAGGGGAGGATACATACTACATCGCCCCAAGTAGACCCCGTATCAGCATAATACTGTTCTCAACACCAACAACCATCCCAATACCCCCTTTATACTTCAACAAAATTTTATATATCAATAACTCCTAATTATTCAATCATCGAGTCAATAAAGAATAACAAAGATATATCCAGTACCACTCTTCTCAAGATACTCCCTCCCCTCCCCTACCTCTGTGCCCCAGCCGGTGCATCATACCAGCTCTCCTCAGCCCCATACCATCTAAGTATAACCGATAGTGGTATAACCATAACAGCATCAACTTACTCACTATCGTCCCACTCATCATTTTCTCCAGATTTCAACACGACCATGCCTAGCGGTATCTCCTCTATAGATCTAAAACAACACTACCATTACCCCCAGACCAAGGCTGAGGAAGGACGCAGTCTTCACGAGTGTTTTAACTCGTTGATCCCAACATTGGAAGAGAATTTCCTCTTACATAACATTCACTATATCGTTGTGTGTTCTTTTAACTTTCGCATTAACTTTCGCAATACTCGAAAATATGCGCATGATCAACTACATATGTCGGTGATAATGTAAAAATTCCGAGGAAACTCTAGGAAATTCTAGTTGGCTTCTGTACACTTCTACCCGAATTTATGATCAACCACCTATAATATAACTTCGGGAACTACTGAGCTTAGGTGAGGGGAGCGAACATATATTCCTACTCCAACACTGTATAGGAAACTCCTGAGCTCAGCTGAGGAAAGCGAACATATATTCCTACTGCAACACTGTATAGGAAACTCCTGAGCTCAGCTGAGGAAAGCGAACATATATTCCTACTCCAACATTGTATAGGAAACTCCTGAGCTCAGGTGAGGAAAGCGAACATATATTCCTACTCCAACACTGTATAGGAAACTCCTGAGCTCAGCTGAGGAAAGCAAACATATATTCCTACTCCAACTTTGTATAGGAAACTCCTGAGCTCAGGTGAGGAAAGCGAACATATATTCCTACTCCACCACTGTATAGGAAACTCTTCTGAGCTCAGGTGAGGAAAGCGAACATATATTCCTACTCCAACACTGTTTAGGAAACTCCTGAGCTCAGGTGAGGAAAGCGAACATATATTCCTACTCCAACACTGTATAGGAAACTCTTCTGAGCTCAGGTGAGGAAAGCGAACATATATTCCTACTCCAACACTGTTTAGGAAACTCCTGAGCTCAGGTGAGGAAAGCGAACATATATTCCTACTCCAACATTGTATAGGAAACTCCTGAGCTCAGGTGAGGAAAGCGAACATATATTCCTACTCCAACACTGTATAGGAAACTCCTGAGCTCAGCTGAGGAAAGCAAACATATATTCCTACTCCAACATTGTATAGGAAACTCCTGAGCTCAGGTGAGGAAAGCGAACATATATTCCTACTCCAACACTGTATAGGAAACTCCTGAGCTCAGCTGAGGAAAGCGAACATATATTCCTACTCCAACATTGTATAGGAAACTCCTGAGCTCAGGTGAGGAAAGCGAACATATATTCCTACTCCAACACTGTATAGGAAACTCCTGAGCTCAGCTGAGGAAAGCAAACATATATTCCTACTCCAACTTTGTATAGGAAACTCCTGAGCTCAGGTGAGGAAAGCGAACATATATTCCTACTCCACCACTGTATAGGAAACTCTTCTGAGCTCAGCTGAGGAAAGCGAACATATATTCCTACTCCAACACTGTTTAGGAAACTCTTCTGAGCTCAGGTGAGGAAAGCGAACATATATTCCTACTCCAACACTGTATAGGAAACTCTTCTGAGCTCAGGTGAGGAAAGCGAACATATATTCCTACTCCAACACTGTTTAGGAAACTCCTGAGCTCAGCTGAGGAAAGCGAACATATATTCCTACTCCAACATTG